GGATAGAAAAGAAACTTGTGGAATAAGGCATACAGTGTTATTCCCATTCATACAAAGATAAATCTAAACAATATATATTTTTAGAATTATTAGGTCTATGTCAAAAGTATGGAGGGAATGAGGAAAATAAAATTCACGAGTAAAATAAAATTCAAGAAATGGGTTCCCTTTCCATGGCGTCAGTAGGAGATAGAGGGATATAATTAAGAGAAGCATAAAGGAGTTTTCTTCAACTATTAATGTTTTTAATCTAATTATCTTTCTCTAGACAGTTACATTTTTGTTGTTCAGGATTTTACTTCTACACTGAGTTTTTAATCCAATCATTAGCCATTTTATTGTTGCTATATAATCAGTGTTTGTTTAGATTTGACCATACATTTTTCTTTTTTATATTTTTAAATTGTACTGATACTCTGATGCTCAGACCTTTCTTCTGGGATCATTTTTCTTCTTCTTAAAATAGATCTTTTGACAGCTGCTTTAGCAAAAGTCTCTTGGAAGTAAACTCAGCTTGTTTCTGAAATGCTATTTTGCCCTTTATGTTAAAAAGATAACAGTAAATATAAGATTTTTACTCTCAGTACTTTAGAGATAACATCTGATGAATCCCTGCTTTAATTTTGTTATTGAGGAAATAAGCTGTTTTTTAAGAAAAATATTCTTTAACTTTATTTTTGTTTTTACTTGATATATAATATTCATAAATATTTATATACGTATAATGTGTGTAATGATCAAATCAGGGAAAATAACATTTCTGTCTCCTCCAACATTTATCATTTACATGTGTTGGGAACCTTGAAGTCTTCTAGTTATTTTGAAAAATCATAAATTTTTATAGACTATAGTTAATCCTATTGTGCTGTAGAGCACTAAAACTAATTTCTCTGTCTATTCTCACTTTAAAATCTGTTGAACATAATCTCTCTTAGGCAACTTTTTAAATCTGCTCCTGTTGTAGTCTGCAATTCCATAGAAGTCTAGGTATAGATTTCTTTTTATCTTGCTTAGAAAAAGGTTTAACAATATCCCCTCTTTAGCCTTCACCTGGCTGATCTGTGTGACTCTTGTGTGATTCCTTTTTGTTATTATTTCTACCAAAGATACTTCCAAAAGTTAGCCTTCACCTGGCTGACCTGTGTGACTCTTGTGTGATTCCTTTTTGTTATTATTTCTTCCAAAGATACTTCCACAAGTCAGCCCAAGCACCATCATCAACAAACACTGGTGTAGATATCCTACTTGTGTGTTTCCATTACACTTAGAAAAATTAAGTCTTTCACAATTTATTGAAACGTATGTCGGAATACCGAAGTATGAGGAAACTGGTGATGTCTTATTTAGCCTACTGTCTACTTTCTGTCAGGTATCAATAAATGGTTTTTCATGAATGAATGAGTGCAATGATACCTTCTAGAATATACATTTTCAGCCCCAAATATTTTTATTTTAAACCTTTTTACCTTTTCTTTTGTTTAATTTGCACACACACACACACACACATAAGACTAACCGTGGTGCTTCAGTTCTAAACATCTAATTTGGAGTCAGTAATTTTAGTTGCATACCCTTCTCAAACCAATTTCTTCAGAATTAAATTGCATCCATTTGGCAAAGGAAAAGAGCACTTTAGCACAAAAATATTTTAAGAGTCAAAACAATTTTATTATTTTGAAATGCGAAATATCATTAACAAATGAAAACTCAGATAACCATGATTACTAAGTTTTATTCTAATTAGCTATCACTTATATTTGCTATATTTACTATATTGAGTTATAGCTATTTAATAATCATTCTTTACTTCATTTTCATTCAAAGTTTGAATCTTGAAAGAGCCATTAAAGTGCCATTTTAATTTCTTTGCCATTTTGTAGAAATCATTACTCATCTTAATAAGTTCACTCCTATTCAGAAACTCTGTTTATGAAACTTGGACTCTACAGAAATTGTTTACCTATCTGAAGTTTCCCATCCCAGTAAACTACCTATGTCAACTGAAATTTAGCATACTTCTCACGTGATAATCAATACTGTACATAGAAAGGAGAAGCAGATAGATATGAAGTTGAATCAGGAATGACCCTTGCCTTCAGATGTTTCCTCATCCAGAAAAATAAGAAACACTTTATTATATAGCTGTGCCTCAGTATCAGTGGATATGTGTTATTAATTGCTAGCAATTATTAAGCTTTACTATGTGCCAAACAGTTTTACTTTTTCACAACCATTTCATTTCAATGTAAGTCCATTGAATATAAGATATACCATTATTACAATACTGTTAAGAGAAAGCTATACCCCTTAAAAATAACTTACTCTTGATTATAATATACATTCCAAATATCAAAGATGTTAATAAGGAAAGATGTAGGACTTAGAAATGATAAAATACATTAACTCTTTTCAAAAACAACTCTCCTAGTTAGGTAATTTATCATCCCATTATATAGGCAAAGAAAACTGATAGGTTCCAAAATGCTAGGTAATATGCAGAAGATTGCACAGCTAGTCAACAGGTGAGCCGACAAAGACTGAGCACACACCAATCTTACTCCAAATGCCATGTCCTTAGCTACTATACCACAGAGGTCTTAGATTATCTGTATCTTTGGCATGTTCAGGAGTTTTCACATCCATTGTTTCTGATGTGGCTTTGATACCATACTGGATTGTTGTTCCCTGAGTTCATGTCCTGGCACAGTCAATGATTGAAAGCACCGGACAAGCAGTTAAGAGTAAGCAAACACAAAGTTTACTGAAAGGATAGAAAAGCACCCTGAAGGGTGGAATTTAATGAAAAAGATAAGCCAAAGGATGGCTGAAGTTCATGAGATTAAATAGGGGCCTGATTTTAGGCACCCCTCCCCACTCTACTTTGAAGCTATAGCTATAATTAGTTGTCTGATTAACTTGCTGAACCAGACCATTTAGCTGCCCCCCACCCCTATCAGGACAGGAGAGTCCAAGAGGTTCTCTTTACTTCATCCTATTCTTGAAATTTATCACCTGCATTTTCTGACTACCACCCATTATTCTGATTGAGACACCCTTGCTTTGTTCATCTTGGGAAAGTTTGCTATGTTACTCTCCTTTTAGGGGTCTATATCTCACCCCTTTAGATATTGCCCTTAGGAATGTTTTATCTTGTTTTCCTTATCTAGGAAGAGAAACTACTAAGCCTCAGCACCTGTGTGTGAAGCTGGTTTCTCAGACTCTCTAAATGTTTTGTTTTTAAGTATGTCTTCCTATCTCCTTTATCTAAAACAAAGCTACTTCTGCCATCCATCCCTTTATATCACCAGCGTTATTTCTCTTGTTTGTTCCTAGAGACATTTTTGCCATTTTATTTCCCCTCACACTTGTCCCCTTACAGCTTCATTTTAAAATTGATGAGGAATACTAGGACCTGCATTAATTTTTGAGAGCAGTTGAGAATTTAGTTGTGATGATGAGATGAATTTTAAAGAACAAACTGTGTTTTGAAAATCATCCTCTTACACTTTGCTTTAACTGTTTATAGTAACCATGCTGAAAAGCGGTTAGTAAATCCTATCAAGACCAGTGACAAGATAATTGATTTTTTAAATCTATCAATCTATAAATGTATTGCATGCAGATCTAGATGTAATAGTCCTCACAGCATGACAGATAAGAAATACATTTAAATTAACTTTTACTATGAATATAGACATCTTTTTATATTCCTTTAGGAGGAAAATTAGTAACTATTAGAGACTGTCAAAGTGTCTATTAATGTTCTTTTTCTGAGGTTTTATGAAAAGAAGTACATTTCTGTAGAGGATGTTGAAAATTAATTCTAACACTACATGAAGTGGTGCAAATAATCTTTGTAAAGAGTGAAAGATGACTAACTAACTCAAAGTAAGAAACTTTTTATCTTATGTAACAAGTAATTCCATCTTTTTTTGAATACTTAATGAGATAAAAAATAACACCCATGTGCTGCATTGTTTCTCCCTATAAATAATGAATTACATGTAAGAATGAGTGGTAGTTAAATATACCATGGGTCAACTGCATAGTCACGGATACCAGACTTCATCTGTGGAAATTCAGCAAAACAGAATTAGAAATGTCAAGCAGAAAAGATCTCATTAAGATAATTCTTCCACTAATGAATCAAAAATTCTATCCCAGCTGTTCATATCTTGTAGTAGTCAAGATGAGTTGGACAAAGCTAAAAATTTGGATTTATTATTTTTCAAAGCATGGTATAGAAACACCTACTTCAAAACATTCAGGTCACTGATATGCTTGCTAAAAATGCCAGGGTTTTTTACCCCCTTCTCAGTTTTACTGTACCAATACCTAGTTGAATGGAAGCCAAAAATCTTCATTTTAAACAAGCCCCTCTAACCACCTGTGATTATGAGTGTTCTGGATTTGAGGATCATTGCTTTAGCACTTGGCTCATCTCTTTCCCACCTGGTACTTTGAAATGATGGAAAATACAAACCAAACACTAATGGGTTTTTTTCATCAAATATGAGAAATTAAATGTTTAATAAACTAGCTATTTATGAAACAGTTCAGGGGGACACAAAAGAAGTGTATTCTGAGTATTCTGATGTATTGCAGTTCATGCATGATCTATAAATAGCTGTTGAACAAGACAAAACTGAAGTAATGCTTCATGATGTCCAACGTGCTTGCAGAAAAAGAGAACCAAGATAATCTTGGTAACTTCAGGAATGGAGAGGGACAACCCCAGAAATTATTTCAAATGCAAAACCAGTGAGATTAAGATATAAATTGAAAGTAAATGACAAACAGAAGGGGGAAAGTAGAATACTTCAGGTTTTGCACTTGGGTAGCTGAAAGTAGTGAGGCACTACTTTGGGAACAGAATGTGAAACAAATGTCTTTTATAGCTGACTCTTCATAAAAATGGGGAAGTGAATTTTGTTGCTGAGTTTATATGTGAATGGATTTAACCAAATCACGATCTGATTAATGATTATGTTCTCTTGCAGCAATTGTTCAACTGTCAAGCTCTACGAAAACTAAGCATTCCTGATAATGACCTTTCAAATCTGCCGACCTCTATTGCTAGTTTAGTTAATCTTAAAGAACTCGACATCAGTAAAAATGGTAAGATGCTCATCTCATCTCCAAGTACCTTGATATTTTTTCTAGAAAATGTGCTCTAATGTTTTCTTAGGAAAGAATATAAAATAACTTTTACTTTTTTTTTTATTGTTGTGCTGAGTGGAGGTAGATTGTGACATTTACAAAAGTTCTTACAATACATCATACTTGAATTCACCCCCTCCACCGTTCTCCTTTATCTCCCTCCCTGCTATTCCTTGAGCAGTTTCAACAGGTATCATGTTTCCATTTACATACATGTGTATACAGTATTTGTACTATATTCATCCTCACATGCCTTATTGTTGCAACTCTAAGTTAATTTTGTTGAAAAGTTAAATCCTAAATCATAAGTCAAAGACAGAAAGCTTTTCTCACCTCCTCTTACAGTGTGCCTGACTCACTCAGACCTTATTTCTGTCTGTAGTCAGATATGCAACCTACCTTTACTAAAGTAGTCTCCTATCTCTACTCTGCATATCCTGCTCATTCTCAGAGCATTCCCAACACGTTTCAAATATCATCTGCTCAACAAGACCTGCCTATTCACCTTACTTGAATTATACTCCTACTTTCCCTTACCAGCTCCATTTTCCCCTAGCACTAACCTCCTCACGATATTATCTAGTTTACTTATTTATTATGGTTTTTTGCCTATATCCTTTTCATCCAGAATGTAAACTCCATTGTGATGAGAGATTTTTCTGTTTCTTGGTCACCATTGTATCCCAAATGTCTAGAGCAATGCCTGGTAAATGACTGGGACTTAGTAGTAGTTGCTATTTTCTGTATTCTTGGTCAAACCTGGTCTTATTTTTATTATCTGGACTTTTCTTATTACCATATGTATTACACAGGGGGTGCATTGTGATAATTACATAAATCCTTACAATATATCTTAATTAGATTCACCTTCTCCCTCTTTCTCCTTTATCTTCCTCTTATCCCCTTCTTAGAACAATTTCAACAGGTTCACTGTTCTATTTTCATACATGAATGCAAGATACTTCCATCATATCCACCCTCCTTCACCCTTTCCTTATACCCTCCCACTGGTACCAACCCCCAGACAGAAGGAGAAAAATGGAGAGGATGATCGAATTCGGGATAGACTACACGTGTGTATGGAAATGACACAACAAAACCCCCAGTGTAACCATCATAAACTAACAAAAATACCTGGTCTTTGTGGATTATGATGCTGATATTGATATTTATGTTAATGATGTTCCCTTTGAGTGCTTGTGGCAGGATAGCTTGATCTTTAGAAAGTCTCTTCATTCATTCATTAAGCCATTCCTTTCTAAATGACTTAACTCTCCCTTTCATTAGAAAAAAGCAAGGGTCAGTCAAAAAAGGGTTATGTATAGACACTATGAGGATATAAAAATGTGAATCCTCTGTGATTAAATTACTCAGATAAACTTTGTGCCTGTATACACATGCGCAAGTAGTGCTGCGATTAGTTCAATCAATATGCTTGGTGACAAGGTACAAGCATGAACAAAACAGGTCCCTGTCTTCGTGAAACTTACATTCTAGTAAGTGATTTAGAGACTGAAGAAGTAATTATGGACAATTAAACATCAATTGTGTGTGATGATATATACATCCAGTGTGAAGGACATGCATATGAGAAGGATGTAATATAGTCTATGTGATTAGGGAAGATTCCCTAAGAAGTGATAACCAAGCACACATCAATAGAAGTTAGATAACCCTGGCTTGGTATTGTAGGAAAATAAAGATCTGTTTTGTTGCTGGAAGCAGTGTCTGACACCTGTAGTCTCAGCTGCTAGGGAGGCCGAAATCCAGAGGATTGGGATTCAAGGCCAGTAAAGGCAAAAAGTTAGTGAGACTCCATCTCCATCCATAGCCATCATTGGAAAAGAGAATGATGGAGGGGATGAATTCAACTATGATATATTGTAAGAACTTTTGTAAATGTCACAATGTGCCCCCAAATACAACAATAATATGATAATTTTAAAAGATGATAAAAAATTAAAAATGTAAAAAAGTCAGGAATAGGATGTACTCTTGTATTCCCACATACACGGGAGGTTGTAGAAAGAAGAATTGCAGCCTGAGACTGGCCCCAGTCAAAGACAACAACACAAAACTCCACCTGAAAAATCATAAAAGCAAAAGAGAAAAAAAATATGGACTCAAGTGTTAGAGCAGTGCCTAGTAAGCATGAGCCCCCGAGTTCATACTCCAGTACTGCAAATAAATAAATAAATAAATAAATAAACAAATAAACAAATAAATAAGCCTGTCTTGTTTAAAGACAGGCAGAAAAAATTCTCTGGACCACGTGTAAATATGTCATTCCAAAGGAATCCTTATAGAGCTCCAGAACCATGGACTGTCTCTTTTCACACTGCCAGGAGCTCTGTAGTGCCAATTGCTTTACCACCCTTCGGTCTTTGCTAAAATGTACTCTCAACAAAGCCTTCCTATACCATGCTGTTTCAAAGTAAGATGCTATGATACTACTGGTATTATCTACTTAAGGCACATCCTGTCCCTTTTCCTTGTTTTTTTTCCTCCTGACATTAGAAACTGACAGACTGTACATTTAAATTACTTGTGCATTATCTGGACTACCATTAATAGAAATAAAATTCAATGATGTCTTAATTTTTGTTATTACTAAATTTATTGCTATGTTTTCATTGCCTAAAAGAGTGGGTAGCACCTTGTAGGAGCTCAATACATATTTACTGAATGTATTCATGAACGAATGGCTGAGAGTCATCAAGAAGTTCACAGTGTCACCACAGAGATAAGACTGACACCCATAAACAGTCACTGGTATCACAAAACACTACTCAATGAAGTGCTTAATTACTTAACATAAATGATAATTATAAATTCTTAAAGAATAGGAAGGCTAATTAAAACTCTTTATTAGGAAAGAGTTCAGGTGTAGGATATAGCCTAAAAATTTCCCTGAAACATTATAGCATCTGAATAAAGTAGAACATTTTGTTTGAAGGAGATAATAAAAGAGTGTACACATATGATACAAACGTGTTTCCACACCAAGTAAACTTACCACTTAGAAGACTTTCAAAATGACGATCAAAGAAGGATCATTTGCAAATGTACAGAGAGAATAACAATTAGACTACTTGAAAGATGATCCCAGGTCTACCATTATTCTTACTAACAGATTTATAGGCCACATATTATATGGATTAGCATTTCTATACTTTTATAGCAACTACTGCTACTTATATGCACTCATACATCAAATTCTACTTTCAAATTATAATTTCTGCAAAATATATGGCAAAATACCACATTCCTTGGTCTTTAGGCAAGCTTAGCTAGACAGTCCAAGTAAATAAAAATTTATCTAATTTCTAAGGAGAAGCAGATAATGTATCACCAAATATAAACATGGAGCTCCTAAGAAATATAACATTTTTGAAAGCATATTAATAATTCCTGGTGGCCTTCTTACACCAGGAAATTTTTGTTTCCAGGAAGTGAATCATAAATTAGAGTTTTTCACCTCAGAAGTTTGTCTGTAAGCATCTTTAGAAATCCTTGAAACCATTATTTAGTGTCTTTCTAGCTTTGCTTATCATTTCCTATATTCCAGAAATATTAATGCAAAAATCCATGCAAGAGATAGTAAGACAGTTTGCATTAATAAAAGTGTGGTTAGTGTGATGATACATCAAACACTGCTTGAAATTATACAAGCAGCAAAATATTTCATTCTGTTGGCCCTTTCAGAAAATCATAGCTAAAGAAGCTGTCACTGAGACCTGGAGAGCTACTTAAGGAGCACAATACATCCTTTGGGAATCTGTCAAGGGAAGGAAGAACAGAAAGCAGAAAAAAGTGCAGCATCAGCATTAAGGTTGATGAAGTCAGAGTAGCCCTTGTGCAAAAGAGGCAAGAGGAAAGAATACCAGCAATACTGGTGTTTAATGTTAGAAAATAGAATGTATTCTGGAGGCAAAGACCTTTGCAAATTCTAGTTAATCTAAGTGAAAAGCTGACTGAAATGTGTTTGAATTAAATGAGTGACCCCTTAATAAACTCACTCAGAGGCTGAGGTTAAGTATGATCTTGATTTTCTGTGTACCCTCCAGTCTTTACTATTTTGTGTACAGTTCTTCCACCTGTCACTATTTTTCTCTCCATAATTCAAAAATGCTATTTTATATTTAAACATTGATATAAGTGAACCATTGTGTGCAGAAAGGTATCTGCACATTTTGAGAGAGCAGCTTTCATCTATCTCTTTGGCAACATATCCAACTGGCATTCCTCTTTCCATTTCATTCTCAAGTAATCCAAATGAATATTCCAAAAAGCATCAGGCTGTCTCCTTATAACACAAGGAGCTATACTATTTTATTTTTCAGGAATACTTCTTCCTCCTCCTGCTGCACCCCATCATTCAGACAGTCTTATCACCTCTAAAAGACATTTCAAATGTCATGCATTCTGGTAAACTTTCCTGACACCTACACAAAGAAAATTGTTCCTTGATGTATGATTTTTTAACCTTATATATGGTTTTGTTTTGAACTTATCTCACTTTTTTGCAGTGCTGGAAATCAAACTCAGGGTCTTATACATGCTAGGCAGGTGTTACTTTTTAATTTAATTCCTGTATATGTGACTAGATTGGAGACCCTTGAGATCAGAGACTATCTTATTCATTTCACTATTTAGAACTATAAGCATGAAATCCATAATACATTGTAGGTGCTTAATAACTGCTTGGCAGGTAAATAGCATTTTATAGAATAATTTTTTATAAAAAATGATCTCATTCATGTTATATTATGAAAGTTCACATAAGATAGGATCCCCATCCAGTACATTGGGACCCCTCCCCAAATGTTTTATCTGAGTGCTGGAAAACAAAATGGCACTGATTAGTAATGAGTAGCTACTAGCTCTAACCTACTCTATAGTTACATATTTAATGTCCTGTTCTTTGGGATAAGGACTACTTCTGTGTCAAGCTTTGA